CATACATACATACATACATACATACATACATACATACATACATACATACATACATACATACATACATACATACATACATACAAACATACACACATGCATATATACATATATACTTACACAGATGCATACAACCTCTCTTTTGTCCGAAAATACAGAATCCGAAATCGGATCGACCACACCAGTGGAAACCAGCAGCCGAATTCAAACGTATACCACAACTGAACAACTGCACACAACATCTACACAAACAACGGCTTCTCCACCAACACCAATACAAACAACCGAAAATACTCAAACCACAACCACACACATAGACACGACAAACACGAACGCGAACACACCCGAACACACCATCGCGTCCACATACTCAACACCGGCCATCTCATCCACACAACAATCAGCAGCATCAGCATACACAACAGCACGAACATCGACAGCGGCATTCAGCGTGCAATCTACTCACACATCTTCCCAAGCACAAACAAATACTGGCACCAATATCCCATCCACAACAACTCCGATCACATCCAATTGGGCTTCAACTATCACTTCCTCACCCACCATCTCCACACTGGAACCCAGATCAACCATAACACCGAGCTATGCCAGTCCCACTTCATCCGAATATCAATCCGAGACATCGTGGACCAATGCTGTGCAAACCGAGATCACTACCAACACTGGCACTATCGCATCCGGTAGGTCCACCTCCTTTCCCAGAGGCTTTATCATAGGTGCATTCATTTTTTCGTCGCTCTGCTCTTTGTTGGCGTTGTTTTTTCATTGAGGTTTGCGGTCCTTTTTAAGCGATCGTCTTAGGACTTGTTCGCTTTTTCACTCAGTGCATTTCGTTTGTGTTCTTTGATAGAGTTGCCGCATGTCCACATAATTGATACTGCTGTTGGTTTTACGATTCTCCTTGTTCCGAGGTTACTTTTGATTATCGATTTGCCGGCGTTCACAAGGTGTTATTTCAAGTCAGGAATCACAATTCAATCATACTAGATACTTCGAATTTAGGTTAATCAGATCTTCGAAGACATTCTTTGTGATTATGTCATTGTGGCGGTAACTGGAAGTTGAAGATTAGTCAGTACATGATGTGAGTGCAATATGAATGGTACAAATAACCGATGAGGAGCACGCAGAAGCCGTGCAAACACTGTCTCAGAAGTCCCACAGGAGCATGGTGTGACGGTATAAAAGGATGCAGTTGTACAGAATTAACGGCCGTCTATATTCAAGCGGTGAATGGATAATCAGGCGACCAAGGTCAAACAGTATTGCGTGCGGTGATGGAGCTGGGTCAAGCTGGAGCAAGCGCTCAAAACGATTTGAATGAACATCAGACGGGCAAGCGGGGTGACATGCAAGTGGTGGCTGAAATGCCGTGCGAAGTAAGGTCAATCACGGTGCGCTCGTAAACCAACGGAGTATTTAGCGAATGTGAGATTTGTTTCTGGAAATGCGTTCAGTCAGCGTACCGAATTTCAACCAACAATATAAATCTTATCAATATTATTTTGAGACAATACAATAGCAGCTGCAGCAATCGCAGACAAACTCAGACGGACAGGCTGTGTGATGGTTGCTTGATTCGAATTGAAGTCTGATTTCCTGTAATTCCATCTTATTTTGACTCACTTCTCTCTAAATATCAGCCCCCACACAGACGGTCACATACGAAATGAAAATGAAAATTTTCCAGGATAATAAGGCTGTGGCCTGGG